TTTTTGGTTTAACGGGTGGATATTAATGAAAACTATAAGATATGTATTGAAAAAATATAAATAATTTTATTGTTTATAAGTTATTTAAAGAAAACTATGAAAAAATGCGGTAAAAAGTTGAAAAAGGTTAAAAATTGTAAAAATAATAAAAAAATTTACTAAAAAATCAAATTTTTAATATAAGTAAACAAAACTAATATAATATTAATTAATAATAATGTGCATGTGATAAGATATTTTGCTAACGCAAATAATTAACGACAAATAAAGTCCTGAATAATCCGATTTATTTTTTTATCATTTTTCGTAAAAAAAACTCAACTAAAATCCTCTATAACTCAAAAACTAAAAAAGATACAATCATTATTTTTGCTCCTACGGCTAGATCTCATCAAAAACTATAATACTACCAAAAGAAAATTATAAACAATCAAATTGTTTATAAGTTATTCAAAGAAAACTAAGAAAAAACGTCAAAAAATCGTAAAAAATACTTTAAAACACAATACAAATAAAAACCCACAATATAAACCCTTTCATTATCCCTTTTCTCACAAAACAAAAGCATGAAACAAGAGAAAGTGCACTCGATGCATTTTTTCAATCGCGCGTGTATACGTACTCCAACCTTAAGTAGATGCTCATTTTTTTAATCATTCTCCTTTTCTTAGATTACATACACACGTGCATAATAAAGAAATAAAGAAAGGACGGAACTTTATGCTCACTGCCAGACCACCATCGTGGCGGCACTAGTCCTTTATTTGTTCCTCTCTGCACTGTGCGCACACTCACACACTGCCAGTCGTCATTTCATTTAATTTCGCTGCGCAAAAGACAAATAACGATCAATTAAAAATTAGCACTTAAATGTGCGCATTACTCTTTACTTCTCCGCGTCTCCGCTGAAAATTAAAAACGACGACAAGTGCGTATTTAAGCGCATTTAAGTGATAACAATCACACACAGCGCGCGGAATATATATATTTAATGCGCACTTGCGGCGCGCGCACTATCAGCGCTTATTTGCTACCGTCTTATTCTTTATTGCCGTGGCGTTTAATGTCGCTGATAGCGCGCGATTTATAAGTTTAAAGTGTAAAGCGCGAAATGAAAATATGAAAATGCGCATAAGACACACGGTTTCGTTTGTTTATAGTGCGTTTTGTTGAAATTTATGAATACGATTTAAAAACGGCTTAGCGTTAAATATCGCGATAATGTGTACGTTGGCGTATTGTCCGGCAAATTGTCTTTAACGACGCGCGGCGACACAATAAAAGTGTTGCGCGCGGCGATTGCGGCGATGATTTAAGCGGCCGTTAAAGCTGCGATCTCGTAAATTGATCACAAGGGACGAAATTAAAGGGCGTTAAATACGCAAACATCAAGAAACAACAATATATAGTGTTGTATCGCGGCAGAAATTAAATTTAAAATGAGACAAATGGTGATATTTGAGTTTTTTCACTTTTTAGACAAAAAACGCAACTAAAATCGTTTATAACACAAAAATGAAAAAAGATACAGTCATTATTTTTGCTCCTATGGATAGATCTCGATGAAAACTATTAGATCAATAGTAAAAATAAGTAAATAATATCATTGTTTATAAGTTATTTAAAAAAAACTATGGAAAAAAACGTCAAAAAGTTTTTTCGTAAAGAAACTCAACTAAAATCCGCTATATCTCAAAAACTAAAAAAGATACTGTCATTATTTTTGCTCCTACAGCTAGATCTCAATAAAAACTATAAGATAAACAATTCAAAAATATAAACAATTTAATTGTTTAAAAATTATTTAAAGAAAACAAAGAAAAAACGTAAAAAAACTCGAAAAACTGTCAAAATAATTTAAAAAAATTAGCTCTTCAAATATTTGCTTTGCGCCCCTTTTACAAGCATATGTTAGCTGTAACAGCCCTAATACCCAACCCACCCCTAACCCCTTAAATATGCATCAGTAAACATCAAAGATATTTGATACTCACCAAATCAACCAATACGTAACTCATCAAAAAATAAATTAAAACATAAAACGAAATAATTTCAGTATATCGTGTGTGATTTCGTGGGAAAGTACTAAACGCAGGTGATTTTCGTTAATTAAAAGCTCATCCCCTTTTAACCTACCCTCAAAACACCATAAACTGCTAATCATTTATCTATTGCATCAGGTCACGCACACTTTAAGTAAAAATAAAAGTAAAAGTGTTACCTGAGGGTACATCACACCCTAAACTAAGGATTTTCTTGGGCGTGTGAAACCATTAACTATTTAACTATTAACTCGGCACGTGTCAGAAGATGTGAACTTGGTTTTTGTTTTGTTTTAATTAATGATGATTATACTCGTAATGATTTTATAGCAAAATATTTCCATGGGAATAAATTTTACGAAAATATTTTAAAATTTTGCGATATCGATGAATGCAAATTTGGACAATACAGATGTTTATCATTTACACGCAATCCGAATGCAAGTCATACAACACCCCATGCGGTGAAAGTAGAAAATAGGAAAGCGGGGAAGTCGGAGATTTGCGATGCTTATCTTCGGACGCATTGTGTCGATAAAGTTAACTTCGCTGTGTGCGTGTGATTAGTTTCGGTCGTTTTCGGTGGTCACACGCATAATTGCACCCCAGAATCAGATTGCAAGCGCACAATGGGCGACCAGGCGCGAGGTGGGATACGTACGAGTACAAGAAAACAGTTCTATCGGTCGAAAATGAAGAGAAAAATTCGCAAAAAACTCACCTTTGTCCAGTACAGGCGGATTTGGCACGGCTAATAAATTACTTCTTTCCATTCAGGAGGAAGTGGTTTTTTAGGGGCAGAAAATTCGTCTTCATTAGTGGAATATTCAATAAATTGGATAAAAAATATAGGGAATGTGTTTGGATTTGTGTTAGGTGATGTTAGAATGGATTTCTTCATGGTTTTGGTGTTGTAGATGATCTGGAAAGAGAAAAATATAAACATTAGTATGAATTGTAAATGATTACAAATTCAAAACATGTTTATGTTTGCTTTTTTGTGATAAAATCGGCTAGAATGGCAATAAAATAGTCGTAAAATACAAATTTTGTAATAAAAATCAAAAATTTATGAAAATTAAAGAAAACCTACGCAAAACCTGATGAAACAATGCGATTATTGTTTTTTTTTGTGTAATTTACCGACGAAAAACGCGATTCTTCAGGTTAAAATCGAATAAATTTAATTCTACGCTCGTTTTATTAATTATTACGACAAATACTAATCACACTAATTGCACTACACTACACAACATTATTTTATTCTAAAATACTAATAAAAATATTTTAATTTCGATTTTATTTCGATTTTTGTTTGTTTCTAACCCGAGCAACCGCGTGGCGTACAAGCAACTCGCGACTGACTAAAACTCGCATTCTTGCAACGCGCAAAAGATAAAAATGCATATAAACAAAAACAGGAATCTAATCTTTCAAGGTCGCAACTCGCAATATTTACGCGATCGTACGCGCTGTGGTTGCGCACAAAAATAGAGTACGTACAAGTATAGTATACTCCTATGCAGTATTAAATATCGTTTTATCTCCGATGCTTTCCGCATTTACTCGTGCCCCCGAGCGTTTGATGATGTTAACGAATGTTAAATGCCGGTCTGATTACGCCGCCGATTGTGCGCCTCTTTTGTCTGCTGGTGCAGTGTATAGATGAAGTGCATTCAAGTCGTCAGCAGTTGCTCTCTGCGAGTTAAAAAGGGGGAAGAAATACGCACACATTGATATATACTGGGTGTATTTGTGTGTGTGAGAGTAAGAGTAATCCCGTTACGCAGACATTACGAATATTAACCCTTATCAAGTGTGGGAACCTGTTAGATTAGTGGCAGTAGATGATCTACTTCCGTATTTATCAACTATCACAGCGACACGCATAAGTTATTTCCGAGATGGAAAAACATGTATTTTGGGTTGCATTCGTGCAATATTTGTGTTTTTATTTAAGAAAAAATAAATATTTTAGAAAATATTAATTTTTTCGTGTTGGTACATATACCATATCAAAGAAAATTTATTTTCGCGATTTTTTGCTTTAAAATATCTTAAATTATATTAAAAATTTAAATATTAGAATATTTGTATGTTTGTGACGCCATTACGCCTAAACCAGTCAATAAATTTTGATAAATTTTTGTATAAAGATAGTTTGGACCTTGGAAAATAACATAGGCTACTTTTTGTCGCAAAAATATAACTTACAGGGTGTTCAAAATTGTTTGCAAGTTTGTACAACGAAAAAAGTTACAAATTTAAATATTACAAATAATAAAATCCAGTCAAATAATAAAAAAATATATCGATGCAATAAAAAAGTGAGTTTACATAACAAAAAATCCAATTTTTTGAGTGATACTTCAAAACTCACTCCTAAAAACCCAATTTTTTTTAATATAAATATATAATGAGCTTCCAATCGACTTACTTCCAACAATAATTTCCCTCGATTTCAATTTTAACAATCCCTATTATGTGATATATTCATATATGCATTACACAAAATGTGGCCACTTTCGAGCGCCTTTATAACGGTTGTTTAGCGCACAAAGCAAAGAGCCACTTCAGGCACGTTCAACGCCGCGTCTAAAACCGCCCCTCGATAGTAATACTACATCGTACATACAATGCCCAACACCAAGTACTTCAGATCTACTCCGGAGAGCAATCGTAACATGCTACGTTCTCTGAAATGCTTGCTCTATAAGCAATTCAATGCGTGCTCATCGCAGCAACGCATTACCAACGCGAGATGAGACGATGAACAAAACACACGAGGAGTTATTGTTACAAGTTTGGTTATATTGTCGCGCCCAGTGGGTGACTTCTCAATTGGACTTGGATTGGAATGAGAAGAGAAAATTTTAAAAAAGAAAGTAAAAAATGTTTTAGGATAAGTAGTAACGAAATTTTTAATTTTTAGTATTAAAAGTTTATTAGTTTTTATTTTTAGTAGATGTTACGATTTTTGGCGGCTGGAGGTATATTTTCGTCATCATCAGCTCCAGATTCGGTGTCATCATTCATATCTCCACTACCACTACCGCTACCACTGCCACTTCCACTGCTTTCTAAGAATTCTTCAGTTGTAGCCTCATCAGTTGTTGTTTCAGTGGTTATTTCTGTTGTTGTGTCAATAGTTGTTTCCGTCGTTGTGTCTGTTCTTGTTTCAGTAGTTGTTTCAGGTGTTGTTGTTGTGGTTGTTTCTGTTACTGCTTCTGTTGTTGTCTCAGTTGTAGGACTATCCGTATTAATTGTAGTTACTAAAGTAGCTACTGTTGTTGTTGGTGATGTAATCACCGGAGTTGGCGATTGTTCAGGAGGTAAAGTTGTTATGGTTGTTGTTGTTGTTGCATTAGTTACAGCTACTTCAGTTGTTGTTGATGTTGTTGTATTCCCTTCCTTAGGATACTTTAACCATTTTCTGCAGATGTACCGGAAGAAACAAGCATCATAACAACATTTAAATCCATTTGGACAGTTCCTATCACCATAACAACTAAGATAATCAGTATTCCAATGATGGGGATTGGGTAAATCCGGGAATTGACAGTTTGTCAAAGGGCACACACCATTTTTTTCTTCAAAATAAAAAAATTTAAAATAAAAACTCCACTTAACAAAATTTCTGTAAAAAAATAATAAAATTAATAAATTTTACTTACCTATGTAACTTGAACACTTCAACACAACTTCTTGATTATTAATAAGACCATAAGACCACTTTTCACATGATGGATCTGTCCAAGACCGACTCTCAACCCAATAGTGACCATTAATAGTTTTAAAACATATTGTAACCACAAATATTATTATAAATAATTCTTTTGTAAATAATAATGAAACCATTTTTTGATGTGTTATGATGCGAGGCACATGAATGAAATACAACATCTAAAGTAATCATGTATCACCTTCAAAGCTTTTATAACATGTAATAGATCAATATTTGAGATATAAGGTAAAAAGAGTAATCATACAGCAAATAAACCTTGTGAGCGTTAGTTTTTGCGGAGTGAATCCGAAACACTAATTTTATTGTTGAGAGAGGTATTTGGTGCAAGGACAAATATCAGGATGTTTGTCTTTTGATTGAGAGATTAGCAATTTGTCATCGCGGATATATATATTCTCATGTGGAGAAAATTTTTTGCAAAAAATATTTATCTTTTATGGTTGAGTGAAAAAAAATAGGTTAATTTAATTCATTATAACTCCGTTATTAATTAGAGTACAGACTTGATCAAAACGTTATTTTATACAGAATTTAATTGAGAATTTATGTGCCAAGAGAATATTTTATAGAATTTATAGTTTTTGTGTAATCAGGGAAAATGTAAAATAAATGAAAAAATATTTCATCAAAAAATCCTGGAAAAATTGAATGATTTTCAAAACTTCATAACTCAGTTATTATTAATCGTAGAAGTTTGACCAAAGCATCATTTTATAGAGAATTAATTTAAGTATTCATATGCCGAAATAAAATTCAATCTCTTTTGTAGTTTTTATGTAATTAATAAAAATGTAAAATAATGCAAATCTACTACGAATAAAGACAAAATCTTCCATAATTTCCAAACCTACAGAGTTACAACAAATATTTTTGTATCACCCTATAGATCCTACCCACATTCATCCGTAAATCCCCCAAAATTATAAATAATTCAACATTATTGCTAATTTTTCAAGAAAATTTAAATAAATTTATCCAAAAATGCAAAATAAAAGAGCATTTACCAGTGTTTAGCAGTGAATAGTGAATTAGACGCAGACACGTGACCCCCCGCACGGGTCGTCGCATCCATCACGACCGAAGACCAAAAAGGGCACGTGACCCTTCTGTACCGCCTGACAGATAACATGCAGTCGAGTGCTTTTCGGTCTATTAGGGGCGCGCTCGCCGATGCGCCGCTTTCCTATCTAACAACGCACAACGCACTCGACCAGCAATCGCCAACCAGGTGTTAATACCCAAGCCCCCAAAGAAGCTAAAGCCAAAGCTAAAAAGCAACGTCACAAAGTTACATCTAACAACCAACAACCAACAACCCCAAGGGCAAAAACCCCGCAAAAAAAAACTTATAAACCTATAATAATACAATTCGCATGCAAAATACTCTCAAATCCACACTTCCGGTTCATTGAGTCTGTCAATGCAAAACTACAAATCAACCCTTTGGTAATATATAAATATAAACATGTAAGAATAAAAATGATCGTAATAGACACGTAATGTAGCGTAACATTCAAAACATTTTTAATTTATAGGGCGAACGTTTTGCATGTTTGCACATTTTGTAAATTATCGATGGGCATTAGCATGCGATCATTTGTAAGTGACATAAATCCAACTGCAGAACACGCAGAGACGCACAAATCGAGAAATTTAAATATAGGTTATGTTTACAAGGGTTTCGTGTTGAGCAACAGTGTAAACACGTGATTTATGCCGGTTTAAATGGCAACACAGCAAAAAAAAAAATCATGTAATGAATGTCTTTACATTTGAGGTTATGTATGCAAAGCGCATAGAAAAGAGATAAAATCATTGTTTTACTCTTGGTATGTAAATAGAAGAACGTTATCTACGCGAGGATTTGTTCTAGCCGGGGCCTCTCTATGATGATGATGTCCTCTGATGTGCGTTAATTAACAGATAGGCGGCGTGTGTACCAATAGCGCACGCGGAGCTCTGTGGAGCTTCATTCCGATTGTGAAATCGTGAAATGTTTTCGCCGAACGTGGATTACACATGTAAATATACAGAGTGTTCCAGAAAACTCCAAAAAATATTTTTTCATTTAAAATTTAATTTTTGAATAAAATTAATAAGATTTTAATATGAATTTTGGAGATTTTTAAAAATTTATTTTTATAGTGGGTGATGGTTGAATTTTGACATTCAGTTGCGTTTTACCATCATCTGTGGAGGCTGCGTGTCTGCGCGCTCTTTGTGCGCGCCAATTACAGACCTTTGGCGATAAACAGTGCGGATAATCTATCGTATTATCTCTCGGTCTCTCGATTCACGTTTCTGTACGCTACTCGACGCTATAAATACACTCGTATCCCACTCTTGCGTTGATAGAATGTGAATTTCACAGAGTGCATTCAAATGCATCATCAAAGGGCCATCATAAACATCAACTACAGATATATTTCCTATAAAATATTCATTTTACACATCAAATAAATAAATAATTTTGAATATTTTAATGAAAATATAAAGAAAAACAATGTTTCCGCCCGGGATCGAACCGGGGACCTTCCGCGTGTTAGGCGGATGTGATAACCACTACACCACGGAAACAGCTTACTAGTGTAGTGATTACTAGCAGACTTAACCCTACTTTAAATAAAACTATAACCTACTTTATATTTTATTAAATTTAAAACCTAAAAACATGATAATCCTGTTTATTTTGATAAATTTAAACAAAGCGATGAGTTAACGATGAAATTAAAACACTGGGGATGCCGCATGCGTGGGGTTGAGCTCTTTTTGTGAAACGTTTCAAACGTCAAAAGAAGAATAGGAAATCCGATAGGCATATTGAGTTGCATACACACGCACCACTACACACGCGCTGCGGACAATAGCATCACCACCCCATCTCGTCTCGTATAAGTTTCTCCTCTCTACTCATCTCATATTTAATTTAAAAATTTAAATTGTTTTGATTCCATGTTAAACATACTTAAATATATTTTCTCTTACTCGTAGTACGCGGTACATGTCTACGTTTTATTACTGTGGGGATACGTAGTGACGTAAAATTTAACTGACGCTTTCTTCAATTACTCCAATTTAGAAGTCGACGCGACGCGTCCCTAACCATCCGTACTAGAAACTAGAGAGTGTCAAGGTTGTGAAAAAAATTATTTCCTTAAGCCATGAGTCATTCAATTAAGATTACGGAGAGCTTTCAATTGGTGGGCCAATTAAACGTGTGCGTGCACTCCGGCTTGATATATTTTACTATTGTAATAAAAGTGAAGTAAATAGTGCTCGGGGAAAGCTTTCGCAGAATATAAAATTGATTGACAAACAAAGCTTGAGCTAACAATTCATATTATATTAAATTTTATTTTTGTTGCGTGGATGCTGACATGAGAGTAATGATTGATTAATTAACGCATCGATTAAGTTAATGGCTTGTAAAAAATATATATCAGATGTGGTGAGTGCAACATATATTTTGTTTTCGAGTGCGTGGATGCGCTAGGGTACATATTTAATCATTAAAGCGGCGTAATTATTATTAGGGTTAATTCCGAGCGTCATCTGCACCGCACAAAATTAAAAGTGAGCGCGGAGTGGCTTGTAAAGCGATTATTTTTATTGTACAAGACGTGGAAGTGTAATTTTAAGGTTTAATTATTATCATTTTATAGTTGGGTATTATTTTATGTGATAATGTATTAAGAAAATTAGATATAAAATAGAATTTTAAAAATTGGAAAAAAATTGTAGAAAATAAAGTTGTTTTTTAATTGTTTATAACTCTGTTAATAATTGTCGTAAAGTATTGTGAAATATGTCATTTGATAGAGAATTTAATTGAGAATTTATGTACTAAATGAATATTTTATAGTATTGATAGTTTTTAAGTAATTAAGAAAAATGTGAGATAATTGAAGAATATGTCTGCAAATATACCTCACAAAAATTATATGATTTTCAAAAATTCATAACTTAGTTATTATTAATCATAAAGATTTGAACAAAGTATCATTTGATAGAGAATTTAATTGGGAATTCATTTTCCAAAGAAATATTTTATAGAATTAATAGGTTTTACGTAATTAAGAAAAATGTTAATCTATCCACATCAGGCTTGACAAATACTTGCATTGACTTGCAATGGTTTAGTAAAAATATCGTTTTGGCGATATTGTGAGGGTATAGCGTACAGTAAGTGTTTACTTAACTTTACTTAGTAAAAATTATATGATTTTCAAAACTTCATAACTCAGTTATTATTACTCATAAAAATTTGAACAAAATATCATTTGATAGAGAATTTAATTGAGTACTTCTGTACCAAAGAAAAACTATATACCTTCTTAAGTTTTTATGTAATTAATAAAAAAGTAAAAAAAATCAAAAATCAAAAAAATTCGAAAAAATATAATAAAAACCGTTATAATTCCGAAACTAATAATAATAAATAAACAATCCTTACTATATTTGATAGATAATAATGTAAACTAAATAATATTGTTTAAATAAATTATGTAAATGTTATAATTTATGTATAATAAGCAAAAAACTAATTTTTTTTTGGTGTAAATTTCGTAATATGTTTGTCTGGTCGAGATAAACAAGCAAAACAATGAAAAGACAAGCGACGAGACAAACAGACAAGAAGAGAACACCAGAGAACACAGCAGAGACAATGCCGCCGCCCTCACCGAACGACTAAACAAAACGTCAGCTGCAGAATCTTGATGGCGCGTGTGATGACTACTGCCACACATCACCATACATCACAAAATACCACCAAACACAACCAAAACAACAAATAAATAATTACTATTTTCGCAATTCACCAAAAACCCTAAAATTATCTCTTCTCCTGTCCTAATCAAATATTCCTCTATTCTATTCTATTCTCCTAACCATAGATAATTATAAATATTCAGTAGCATCATATGTTTATCACATGTGTCGATCTAAAGCGCACGCAGTTTTAGATAAAGCGTGCGCGATAACACCCTCTGGCCAGGCAGAAACAGACACAGACACAGAGGGGGTGGATGCGGATGAGTCTCGCAGGATGACGCGATGACGCAGACCTGATGGTGATGGTGTCATGCATGGGCATGCAGGGGAATGCAATTCACATTACATTAGCATTCATCGCAACCCTGCGGG